ATGAGCCTATCAGCAAGATGGACAGATCCAGTTTGGTGATGTCATACTGCTGGAAAACCTGAAGGGCTAAGTTGGATCTAGCTCAGCGGTGTCAAGCTTGTGTCGTCACAGCATCGTCACGTGACGTATTGTGACTTTTTCCATTCACTCAACTGGGTGTGAGTGTGGCCAGCAGATGACGCATCCTGCCCATGAGTTTGACGCCCCCGGTCTAGATCATCCTGGTGCTCACTAGGAGTTGGCACTGAGTTGATGGCACATCATCAGACACGTAATCAATTAAACACTGAATTAATTTTTGATTGATTTTATGTGGAGCTCATTTTTTAAAAAAATCTTAATTCTTTTTTGAAATTCCTAATAATAAATGCAGTTTTAAAAACTGTACAATCAGTGGTATATTTAGTTGCTCTTATTCATTTTACATTCCATTAATAAAAATTCTAAAACAATCAAAAGACTGTTCTCTGAGTGATCATAGCACAAGAGTTGTTTATTGTTAGCTGAACCAACCATCTCCACTGGACACTTTACAGAAATGTTGGGGTGGAAATTCTATAATGCAACACTGCTCCATCATGTTACAAGATCCTAAGGTGAAAAAGGATAAACAATTGGACTAGACAGCCTTTTTCAAGTGCTACAGATCACGTTGTTTCAGTATCTAAGATATGAATTTAATTCATAAACACTTGACTCTTCTAACTGACCAAAGCATTCTTCAGGTTCATTTCATGGTTTACTTTGGCGATAACAAGAACTCCACACAATGAATATATATCAGTTCAAAAATAAATGTGTAAACTCTGCCCTAAATGGGATGCAGTGTGTGCATGTAAAAGGAACTTGCCAATAAAATACAGATATAAAGATCTTTCCTCAAAATGTTTTTTTTTAATCACACAGCACCATTCTACCATATTAAAGTCTGTTTCTCATTTTTATTATAGAAGGCATTTTAGGGATTGAGGCTTTAATTTAGTTTCCCAACCTTCTGGAAAGCCTCAGATTGATCAAATAAAGCTCACTAATGGAATATGCCCTTTTCAAACAGTCTTGGCTAACCAATTTCAGTGGCAGCATCCCAACTTAAACATTACAGGGGACAAGAAAGAGAAATGCCCCACCCTCGTCTCTGAGGAATTCCCATTAGTCAAAATAGGTGATGCTACTTTGTATGATGACTTGCATACACTGTTAAAAGTAGTTTTATTTATGAGCAGTACAAAGTTGGGAAAAATTATAAAATGTAATTGGCTGCAATTCTAATTAAAATTTAATTTCCTACAACAATGAGGGATCTGAGTTAAATAGATTGAAAATGGTGTTTTGGATTTGAAATCTTCAGTAAAACCTGACCAAGAGGGAAGTTAAAGTAAGAGTTTTAATCTCTTGCAGGTATTGCTACCTAAAGCTTTTCCACTCAGTTACGTTAGCATCTGTATTTACAGCTTGACTCCAGTATGCTAGTTTCCATAATATTACCTTTTAGAGCAGGGGTGTCAAACTCACATTGTCACGGTGGCATCACATGACATAAAAGGACATTTTTCCCCTTCACTAAATCAGGTGTGGGCATGGCCAGGGCGTAACACATCCAGCCAGGGAGGTTGACAGTCCTGATTTAAAGCAAATTCTGTTGCCTTTCCTCCGCGCTTAGCCATAAAGGACAATTACCTGCAAACAGTAATCTCATTTCTGAGAAGTTTAGCATTAGAGATGTACTAGGCCTAATGATGTCTGAGCATCCTACAACAAATGACCCACTAAAGTAGGATGAATTTCCTAATAACCTGATGAAATTAGGTAGAAATAAGATGGAATTAAAAAAAATAGTGGATTTTTTAATCAAAGGCATACCTCTGGAAGGTAGTCCATTTCCTTTCCTTTCCATTCTTATAATTAATCGCACCCAGGACTAAAAATGCACTGTTGAAACATGGCCCTTTTGGGTCCAAGAATCACCTGCAAACCTTAAAACCCTATGAAGTATGAAAAAAAGGTCAGAATTCAATTGCACTTTTATTTGATCAGTTTGGGGCTCTCCAGAAGGTTGGGAAACTAAATTATGCCCCCAACCCCTAAAATGTTGCACTCTTCTATAATCAAGGAATAAAAATGAGAAACAGACTTAGATATGGTGCTTTGTGATTTCAAATAAAACATACTAAGACCAACCAGCATAAAATCAAAACTGAGCAGTAGCCAGAATTATTAACAATTTACCTAAGACTAATGTAAATCTCTTGAGCCTTTTATGGAAGAACACCATTAATTTACATGCAGGATTAATTAAACTCAATGAAGAATAATCTGGCAATGAACCAGTACAGAACCAATTTCCTCACCTGTAAACTATGCATCCCAAAGGGTGCAATTCCTTGCTATTAAGTCATTATTTTTTGGCACCAACAGAATGGAAACTGTTAAAAGAATATCTATGAACAGAAAAAGGCTTCAGGAAACTATCCTATAGAATATTTTAAAATGAGCAATTACTTAGGATGAAAAAAGGATCAAGCTAAAACCAATAATTGTTCTCACTTGTATTCAATTCTTCCAAAAGTTGGCAAGCTCTTACTCACCAGGCCTCACCTTAAAATCAATTTTGAGTGTCAGGAACATATGAAAATAAAAACAAATACTTTTGTTCAATGATTTATTACAATTTAACTTATCCTTTTTCAAAAGGATTTCAAATAGACTAGTTCTCATCCCATATATCCTTCTTTATCTTGGTAAACTGTACTTGAAATCAATATGAGTAAACCTAAACTCACTAAATAATGTGCAGCGATTTCAGCCTGAAACTTTTCAACCTCAACACAAGAGACTTTAACAGTTAAAAGAAAAATAATTCTGCCAATTCTGAAAATTCTCAGTCGTCTGGTCATAGTTGTCTCAAAGGTGCTTTTTCAAAAGCCAACTGAACTTTGTTTTTCCTTGAAGATGTTTCACTTCTCATCCAAGAAGCATTATCCAGTTTGAGCAGGATAGAAAAGGGTGGAAGAATTATCAGTAGTGGGGAGGAACGGAGGGATCATTTGCATTCATCTGGTCGTTATCATTTTTTTCTGAGAGGTTGGCACTCCAATCCATTCTGAATTCATCAGGTGGCTTTCGACATAACACTGTTTCTACCTGCTTATAACAATATGGAGCACCTTGAAAGCTAACACTCAAAATCCATGACAAAATCCATTACTGCAGCTTAAGTGAGGCTTGCTTTAAAGCAAGGGTGTCCAACCTTGGCAACTTTAAGACTTGTGGACTTCAAAGCTGGCTGAGGAATTCTGGGAGTTGAAGTCCACAAGTCTTAAAGTTGCCAAGGTTGGACACCCCTGCTTTAAAGAGATAGCAGAAAAAGTCTTAATTCATACTAATCTGGAAGCAGGCAGCAGTTTCTAACCACCTGGCCTGATCCCAGAGAAATTAACTGACAGACAAGCCCTTCCCCACCCTAGAACTTCTGCATTCCAACCAGGCACCAGATTGCTATACCTTGTGAGTTTTTTTTTCTCTATGAACTAATTCTCCCCTCTTCCCAATTTACACTGCCTAGACATGAAACAGGTACTGTACGATAATCTTCTCCGATTCGTGTTTTCTTCTTAAAGGATGCGTAGCCAGAAGCAATCACCAATCAGTCTTTGCTAACTCGTGTCCTCTTTGCCTTAGGTTCCTTTCCCGTGCACCCCCTTCCCTCATTTCTTTCCATCCATTTGCCTGCTTCTCGCCTCTTCTTCCTTCTTAATGCCAAGCGACCCGCAGGTCCCCATTTCCCCCGGCCACCCTCGTTTCTTTCACCCCCCCCCCGCCCGCCACTTCTGGTGGCCTCGCCCGCCAACCAAATAATCAACGTATTTGACTATCGCCAAAGGCCCGCTCTGCCCGTCAACCGGGCGCTTTTCCAGCCACTTCGCTCCTCAGCGCCCGGCCCCGGCGGTGCGCCCGGCCGACTTCAATCTTAGAGAAGAGGCGGGCGAGGTCTTCTAAGTCCACAGGCCTCCGTCCCCTTCCTTCCCCAATCTCGCGCCCTACAAGCGCATCCTAAAGGGAATAGCGGGTGGGATGAAGGGATTATAAAGAATGAGCCACAACCCTCCCCCGCTAGGCCAGACGACCCCTCTCACGGCATAACCCCCCACAGATCTGGAAAGGAACGGGGGGTAGGGGTGGGAGGAGATGAAGAAAGAGCCCCATCGCTTCCTCTCCTTGCTGCCCCGCTCCTTTTTCCAATTCTGCCCCGAAGGTTGACCTTCGCCTCTCAAATGAACCCCTCCAGCCGAGCCCCACCCTTGGAGGGGAAAGAGACCCTCCCGCCCCCCCCACCCCACCCGGTAACCACCAAGATTCACTCGTTAAGGGGCTCGGCGGGTTCTGAGGAGGCAGAACTTTTAAAATAAGCCCCCCACCCCGCGCTGTCCTATCTTGGGTGGGGGTCTGCCTCACTTTTCAGTCTCAAAGACCCTGTTCCCTCCGCCTTCCCGCCCAGAATCCCCCTCAGGCAGCGAGAGCCACCGCCATATTTCATTCCTTTTCCCTCCTCCGCCCGCCCGTTTCGTCGCCGAGGCAGGGGCGGCCTAGTAAGCCCCGTTTACGAAGCGGGGGGGGGGGGCGGGGGGAAGGAATCAAGCGGGACGCATCCCGTCACTCCTGTACTGCTGCAAAATCCTTCCGCGTCTCGCGGCGTAAAGTAGTCCCTCCCATCGGGCTCCGTCCCTTTATGGCTCGAGCCAGCCGTTGTAGTCCGCCTGGAATCGTCCGTTCATCTTTCCCTCCCGGCCACCTCCCTAAGCCTGAGAGGCGTCGCTCGATACGAAGGGGAGGGGCGGGGAGGGGGCAGACCTGCCCGGGATCGCCCTGCCATTAACTTTATACTCCT